AAATGAGGAATTTTGGCAAATTCACTTCTTAACACATTTTCAATTTTACCATTTTATTGTTTTAGTAATTAATAATAATAACAATATAAGTATTATGCAGTTCAAGTTAAATATTTCCACACCATCGAGGGGCACCTGGGTGGCTGAGTCGGTTAAGCATCTGCCTTCAGCTCAGGTCACGATCCCAGGGTCCTGGGATTGAGCCCCACATCGGGCTCCTTGCTCAGCGGGGAGCCTGCTTCTCCCTCTCCCTCTGTTGCTCTCCCTGCTTGTGCTCTCTTGCTCTCTCTCTCTCTGTCAAATAAATAAATAAAATATTTAAAAATATATTTCTACACCATCCATATACTGTGTCTTGATAAAATTCTTAGAAGTTCTATCAAAATTAATACATATTATAATTTTTATTTTTTTTCTTCTAGGTTCTTATTTAAATTCCACTTAGTTAACATACAGTGTAATATTAGTTTCAGGTGTAGGATTTAGTGATTCATCACTTACATACATATTGTATTTTAAACCAGGTAAGAATGTCAGAACTCTGGATGGGCTAATCATTTGATACTCTTGGTATTCTTTAAATGTTCTCTTAGTGTTTTATTTGGAAGAAAGGTTGAGGGTTGGGGCATCAGGAGAGGTGGGTGAGGTGACACGTATGAGAAAGGGAAGTCAACACTGCTGCAGACATGAGCAGACCTCTGCTGTCCCAAGCAGTCCATGGTGCTTCTGAACTTGCATGTCCCTACCAGCATCTAGCAGCCTAAACCCTGCAGTTAATTGCATTCATCCGTCTTAGGAGTGAGTTGAGCACTACTAGTTGTTATGGAAATATGTCTCTGTGGGTCTTCAACCCCTGTGGCCTAAACAGCTACCAAAAGTATCCCTTCAACCTTACATGGCATGTTACAGTATTGCATTGGCTCTAGAGAAAGATCAGCCGGTTCAAAACCAGGCATTATCTCTTGTTCTCTGTGAGGTTTCAGTCAGAACACTTAATCTCTCAGCCTTATCTTACTGAAACATTAAAAGGGGCAAAAACAAAATAATAAAAATAATAATAATGATAGGAGGAGGTGGTGGATGAATCCATCATAAGATTGTTTTTAGTATTCAGTGAGTAATCCCGTAAAACTCTTAGAAGACAGCCTAATGCCTAACACCTAACATGCACTCCCTAGATGAATGTTAGCTCTCATTAAACCATGGTGTTCATTCCCTGTGACGAGTTCCAGCAAACATCATTTTCTTGATTTCGGTGCTTTATTAGTGACATTATAATGACACTTTTACATAAGTCTTCTCCAGCAGCTACCCAGTGCATTGTCCCTTAATTCAGTCCTAAAATCATATTGGTCTATTTTCTAACAAAATAATCTCAATACCACTACCTAAGTCATGCAGTGTCCCTGAATATTACCTGCACCTGGCCTCCTTTGGGGAAAGTTTGCTCATTTCTAAAAGGAAGGTAGGGATAGCTAAGTAACAGACTTGCAAAGATTATGTGACATGATGTGTACTTAGCACAGTGCTTGACACACAGCAGCACAAAGTACTTCCTTTATCTCTCATTGTACACACACACACACACACACAGAGTACACACCCTTCCTTCCTTCTTTCTTCCTTCTTTCCTTCCTTCTTGCCTTCCTTCCTTCTTATTTGTTGTTCTTTTATGTTAAAAGTCATCTTCTCTTACTTTGCCAGGTACTTTTATTTTTTAAATGGTTCCTTCCATGAAAAAGGGAAAGATATTGACATAATCATTTGATTTTATATGGTAAGTCATCCTTCCCAATTTGTCAGCACTCACTGAATTTGTATTTTAAGTATGGAATATAAAGATTGAATCCATTAGGGGCACCTGGGTGGCTCAGTTGGTTAAGTGTCTGCCTTTGGCTCAGGTCATCAAGCCCCGTGACCATTGCGTTCCTGCTCACCTCCCTCCCTCACCCTCTGCCCCTCCCCCCAGCTCATGTGCTCTCTCTCTCTCTCTCTAATATAAATAAATAAAATCTTTAAAAAAAAAAAGATTGAGTCCATTAAAAGAAATTATGTTTCAGGGAGTAGATAGATATTTTAAAAAGCAAGTAATGCTTTTTTTGACCTCTGACATTATAGGCATAAAGCTGATTTTGAACATAAAACAACAGTACTCAGTCTGGATTCTTGAAGAAGGTAAGGAAAAAAAGAATGAGATGTCTGGACCTGTCTTCTCTCTTCAGCTATTTTTTCTGTCCTGTATGTCTGCATTCTTCCTCCTTATTCTTGTGGCTGAAAATTTCCCAGCCAAGACCTCCTCCTCTGCCTCAGCTACTTCCTCTACCTTCCTCTCATCTTCCTACCTGTACTGCAACATGGTACTCATGAAGTTGCTCTTAATCCATTAGGTGGAATTGAGGTCCCAAATTGTGATGGTTTAAAGCACTAGAAACAGATATGAGGTCCAAGAGTGGATTGCTCTGTATTCCCTGAGGTGAGAAGAGTAATGTAGGAAAGAGTTGATAACATGAAAATCCCTATGTGGAAACTATGAAAGTCAACCCTGGTACAAGATTGGGAGCACAACAGTGTACCAAACATTGAGGAGTACAAGTCAGGATACTTGTTTTCATGTGTGTCTGTGTGATAATGAATGAGGCTGGCTGATGGGTTGTGGTATATGTGAACAAATTCAAATTGTTACATAACCTTTGCAAAAATTGTTCAGATCGATGTTAATTACAGATATTACAGCACTAACAATGTGAAAAGAGAGAAACTACACATGTGATGGAACCATATAATAATTTAAAAATTAATACCGTTTATGTCATTGCATCATTAAGCGATTTCTGCCTCATCATCACCAATGACATGTTTATTCATACCATATATGTTGGACAGACGGTTTTAACTTTGTTTAGTTGTAATAAATTTTATGTTTGTTCATCTTCTGGCATGAGTAACTTTTATAAAGGAGAGCTTGCTTAGTGGTTGTGACTTTGCTTCAGTAAATTTAAAATTTATCTTCACATCTGTGAGTATATACAATTCCATCCAGAACAGTGAACTCGTCCAAATTAACTTTGGGGCCAAAAGACAGACATGAAATGACAAGTGCTTGCATCAAATAAGAAAGTAACTTCAGTCAATAAACATGAGTTTGACTATTGTCCAGATTTATTGAAAAATAAATTATAGTATATTGTCTTTATAACTTAAATTAGTTCATAAAAACTCCTTTATTCAGCAAATATTTACCAAGAGCCCACTTTATACCAGGCATTGATATGTCCTCTGGATATATAACTCTGAAAAAAGAAAGCCTGTCCTCTGAAAGCTAATGTTCTAGTAGGCAGAGACAAAAAACAAATACATAAGTGCTATGGAGAAAAATTAAGCAGGTAAAAGTTTGTGGGATATAGGTGTATTATATGTCATTAAGAAAAAGCCTACTTATTTTATTTATTGAAATATTTTAGTCTCACTTTTAGAGAAAACACAAGGAAAATCCTTCTAGTGTTTCATAATTGACTATGTCTTAGAGTAAGATATAACCATAGTGGTCTTTGACAAAAAAACCTCACTAAACACTGCAGTTTGTTAGTCAAAAGTCAAAGAAAGTGGGCAGAAATGCTGCTAAAAACCTGCCGACATGCTCTTTTTGAAATCTATGATTATGAAATGTAGTAATTACTTAAATATGAAAATATTCTTTAAAAAAAAGATTTTATGTTTTTATTAGAGAGAGAGAGACAGCGAGAGAGGGAACACAAGCAGGGGGAGGGGTAGAGGGAGAAGCAGGCTTCCTGCCGAGCAGGGAGCCCGATGTGGAGCTCGATCCCGGGACCCTGGGATCATGACCTGAGCCGAAGGCAGACACTTAACGACTGAGCCACCCAGGGGCCCCAAATATGAAAATATTCTTGACACTGAAATAATCCTTTTATTAAGAAGGATGTCTCCTGCTATCAGTAAGTAGACTGAGTTTGTTAACACTAAAAAGGAATTCTGGCAATTGAAAATGTCTTCTGCTTTTAGCTGGAAGATGGAAGCTTAATGTATAATCAGGAAGTCTTATTACACAGAAGTTATTCGCTGGTGTATAAATCCTTTGGTATTTTAAATAAAACTGCATTTCAGACACCCTCATTAGCACAGGAAGGAGATTGGAAATCATACACAATTTTGGAGTGTTTGGGAGAGGTAGTGCTCCTGAGCTTCTGCGGGGTGCCAGGCGGGCGTTGCTCTCAGAGCGGAGAGAGTCCAAGGCATATGAAGACAAAGCTTCCGTGCTGTCCAGTTGACAGTGTGAAATGTGTTCAGATAAGAATATGTCCACAATCCTGTGAAAAGAGAGGTCTGAGGACAAAAATGAGGCAGCAGAGGGGAGGGCAGGCAAAAGACTCATGAAAGGCTTCCTTCGGGAGCAGACAGAGTGCCCAGCACACAGTAGGCACTCACCGACTCTGAGACCCTAACGCGTGCCCCTTCCATTCTCGGCCTGGGGAGATAATGTGAAAATACTGCAATTCCTGCATTGCCTGAGAAGCAGTCTGTTTGGAGAAATAGACAAAACTAAAAGTGGCAATTGCTTTAATAATTCAGCATACAAAGTGCATTGAGAGCTCAGAGACAGAAAGAATTTAGTAGAATTTCAAAAATAAAATACAAATCTAAGCATTCTAGGGTGGCTAAAAGACATGTGAACCCAAAGGATAGTTTTTAATTTCTATAAATCTCAAACAAGGGTTTTTATATTTCATATTTGTATTTTCAGTTTTACTGTTCTTGCTAAATACATGAATCTGTTCTTAATTCAACAATCCTTCAAGCACAGCACTTTCATAGTGCAGATTTTATTAGAGAACTTAACTGATACCGGTTGGGGGAAGGTGAAGGGAATACAATTTTCTCTAGAAGATTTGCATTAGATAGAGTAGTTACAGGCTGTAGCGTCTCCCCTGTAATTTTATGAGAATGGTATTACCCTGGCTTTCACTGTGTGATTGCTGGTTACCTTCTGTCAGTGAGCAACAGTCTTACTGCAAAGCAGGAGCACAACCCGTCTCTTTGTCTCCGTGGTCAAAGCAATTACTTCTTAGAAAGTCGGATTTTTTCAGAATGACCATGTACAGGAGCAAACGCAGACATCAGAGATGTAAGTAAATTCTGACCCAACTTTTTCTTATGACTGTGGTGAGAGAAACATACTTGATTCCTTAAAAGACTAATCATGACTTCTTCAGATCTATCCTGGTAGTAGAAAAAAATATTGTAGCCTTTTTTCTCACTAACCTTTATCTGTATCCCTCTTACATGCTTGGAAAATGTTAGGGGGAGAGGGGATAATTCACTTGTTACTATGGAAACCTTTGGAAAGGTTTACAAAATCAACAGAGAAACAGATCAAATGCAATTTCAGTCTAGCTCAGGAACCTTCATTCAGGCATGATCACTGGGTAGTTCTCTCTCTCTCTCTCCCCCTCTCTCTTCTTTTCTTTTCTTTTCTTTTCCTTTCTTTTCTTTTGTTTTCTCCCCTTTTCTTTTCTTTTCCTTTCCAGAAGTGATAGATTTTCTTTCCTGAAAGTCTATTGAAGGGTTTGGGAAGCTAGCCTAAAACTTCCATTTATTTGTCCGATATCAATGATAACTCTCAGGAGAAATAAAACAGTTCAGAATAGAGGGGAGAGAGAGTTAATTGTGAATGACAAGCTGAATATGTAACAGGAAATTCATCGCCAAACTTCTTGGTCCGGAGCATATTTGTAACATAATTCATTACAGACACCATTTTAAAGGGTTAAAAGGAGTCATTTGTAATCTACCCTAAAGGGATTGATTCTGACTGAAAAGGAACAGCACAGTTACCCTGGCCTAAAGTCCAGAACAAAGATGATTATGGAACTGAAAGCCATTAGGTTTAGCTAAAAATCAAAGTCTTATAATGTGTTTTATGGTAATGCAATATGCCTGCCATGAAAAGCTTTCCAATCACTTCTCTTTCTAGTAAGCCCAACTCGTTATCACTTTATCTTCCCTATTGTCTAAAGCAAAGTAAATATTACCTTATTGCGCCCAGTGCATCCTATCACTGACTCTGTTTATCATCTTAGGCAGGGAACTACAGCTTGTTCTATAGTCGAAGTCTGTACTTTTTCATTATTCCTAGGATGTCTTTCGGCATTACTAAATGTTTTAGACAATCGGCAACAATTACTCTATCAAAGGCCAAAATATGATAGAAATGAAATTTTTTTTGAGTATGATAATATTTTTGGCCAATTTCCACCTGAGACGTGAACACTAACATTTCTCTTGTTCAAAGAAGTTTTATGCACCACAGAAAGCTCTGAGGGCCAGGACTGCCAGTTTGATTTTATATGCCTGATTGCCTTTTGACGCCTCTCTTTCTTGTGACTGAGAAACAACATATGATAAATGCTGCTTGTGTCTTATAAAAATGATTGGCACAAAGTCTACAAATATATTGCTGATTAATTTCCTTGTGATTTCCTCGCACAAGAATGGATCTAAATTATGCATGTACTTAAAAACCATCTTGTACCTTTACTCCTGTATCTTTTGGACACCCCCTCATTTTTTTCCATGTAGGTAATCATCACCTTAATGCAGATGGCAAATAAAAGATTATAGAAAAATTGTACTGAGTCTCTCCCCTAAAATGTGTTTGCTGAAGTCTGCGATTAAGCAGCAGGAAGAAATTGTGAATTACATGAGACAAGTCAGAAAATGTATAATTATACAGGATGAACACAGTAGGGTGTACTAAGTGGTTTAGTTAAAAAAAATCTAATGTGTTACTTCTGTTTAATTGTATCAGCTACATTATATTGCATTAACTGTTTCTATATTCTAATCATGTAAAATATTAGAGAGCAAAATATAATAAAATTAAAGTATACAGAAAGGTTAGCAATAAGAGCAAATAGAATCCTTAAATGAATTTCTATCTTACACTAATAATATTTGCAAAAGTGGAAGGTATTACAATTGTTTGCTAGCAATGGGTATATAAAAATATCTGAATTATCCCATCACCAAAAACCAGTGCATTTCCATTTTCAATGGTATCATTTCTGTGTGTGTTTTTGATCATGTAAAAGGCATAAACTAGCCTAGAGGCAATTGTAATCCAATTAAGGCAATAATTGCACACTTAACAAAACCTCAATGTGAGAAAGAAGGAAAGTGTTTTTATGGTTTTCTTTAAAATTGAAAAAGTACATAAATAAACTTTCTAATTTCCTCATTCCCTAGAGACTTACCATAATATCCTTTAGTAAAAATAATGCAACTTTCTTTTAGAGGACCCGGTGAGAAGACCAGGGAAGGTGTGTGGGGCTATGCTAGGGGATCGAAGAGAGGGGTGGGAGAGCCGGACTACTTGTCAAAGACATTTTAAAGTATAAATTACACTAAGCCTTTGAAAATTCATGTGGGACTTTGAAATCCATTCCTCACTCATGTCTAGATTGGTTATTTATAATTCCCTACAGAGGAATGGGAGGGAAGAGTACCCTTTTCCTTGCTTTTGGTGGAGCACTAGCTGTGGAAAATGGAACAGCTTCAGCGTTTGTTCAGATAGCAGATCTCACCTGTGCACAACTGCATAATGACTTTCAATTAGATACAGAATTTGTTGAGTGGCATTAAAAAATGTTTGCCTATGTCGGACATTGATTTTGTCAGAGCCAAACAGGTACTTCAAGAGGAACTCAAATATATGTAAACCTGTTTTTACAAATTGGGTGGAGGCAGGAATCATCATTAGCATAAATAACTTTGTTCTTTAGTGTTTAAACGTTGAACTTTTCATATATACTATATCATTCTATTGATTAAAGTGTATAGTTTATGTTTAAATTTTCAAAATGTTATGTATAAAATCATGTATACCTGTAAACTCCCTTGCTGAAATTCCAGATGACCTTGAGCAAACATTTTGTTGTTGTTGTTGTTTTTAAAAGAAGCATAGAGATAAATTCTTAAGGATGAATATGTTTCTGAAATACAGACTTAGAGAAAAACTAGAGTACGATCCACATGCTATTGGATACAGAATTTTGAAAATACCGCAATCCCCATACCACAGCAAAGAGAACAGTGTACATCTAACTTCAGGTGTGTAACATTCCATCTTATTTTACCAGATAAGAACTGATGTTCATTTTTGATTATCAGTGATATGTTTGGGTGCTTATCTGTCTTATCTATCCCATTATGGAAGGGCTTGATGAGATCACTTCAGGAACCTGAACACTAGCCATAGTCCTCTACCTGTAATCTTGGCCGATGTCTCTTATCTCTGTGGATTGCAATTTCTTTTTCTATAACTTTAGCAGACTGTGCAGAGATGTTTTATAAGGTGTCTTCAATCTCTAACCCCCAGGGTTCCCACAGCATAGGCTTCATCATGTAATTCTTCTACTCAAAGAAATTTTATGGGTTCTCGTTGCCTAGACTGTAGCTCTGGGCTCATGTGCTTCAGATCCATGGGACCATGGATTTACTGCAAGAGACCCTACAATTCACATGAATATTAATCATTGCCTGTATAATGGTGAAAAGAAGTATAACCCGTGTATGCATACATACATATATACCCCTATATTATTTTTTGGTTCTAAAATGATAGGCTTAATAAAAGATGGTACTAAATTTGTAATAGCTTTTAATACCATGTATTTTATATGGTTTTTAAGCCAATTATATCAAATAGGGATTTTATGTTTCAATGTTTTAAAAAAAAAGTGCTCTCATATTCCCAAATTTTGGGAATCACTGAACTGGAAAATGAAATACAAACATGACCTTATAAACACATATTTACATTATTGTCACTCACTGCATACTTCTTTCCTGATACCACCTTGTTCTAGCCATTATCAGACTATTGGCTCATTCGCAAAATTCATTATAGACTCTCTTGTCTCTGTGCCTTTGCCCATACATCTTCCTGTTGATGGATGGTCCTCATCCGCATCTTCATGTGTATAAATCATCCCTGGTCAAGGTTTCATTCAAATGTCACATCTTTCATAAAGGTCTCTCCAATTTCCACATCAAATTTATCATTTTCTTCTCGTTTTTCAGATGCTATTTTTTTTATTCTTATGTTAATCCCCATACATTACATCATTAGTTTTAGATGAAGTGTTCCATGATTCATTGTTTGTGCATAACACCCAGTGCTCCATGCAGAATGTGCCCTCCTCAATACCCACCACCAGGCCAACCCATCCTCCCACCCCCCTCCCCTCTAGAACCCTGTTTGTTTTTCAGAGTCCATCGTCTCTCATGGTTCGTCTACCCCTCCGATTTCCCCTGCTTCATTCTTCCCCTCCCACTACCTTCTTCTTCTTCTTTTATTTTCTTAACATATATTGCATTATTTGTTTCAGAGGTACAGATCTGAGATTCAACAGTCTTGCACAATTCACAGCGCTTACCAGAGCACATACCCTCCCCAATGTCTATCTATTTTATAATTTCATTTATACTTCCTATGTTCTGTCTAAGGTTTCATCAGGTGAGGTACCTTTAATTCTTATTTGAAGCATTCTCAGAGTATAATTCAAGGCTTTGACCATAACGATCCATAACTATCTAGTGAAATTTATTCATTTAAAGAAATATTTATTGATCAGCTATTATATTACTTTCTAGACACTGCTCTAATGCTATGGCTTTCGCAAGGAATGAAACAAAGTTCTAAACAAAGATGACACACAAATAGATACATAATATGCCATGTGATGCTAAGTATTACGGAGAAAAATAATGCAAGCAAGAGAGAAAGGGAGTTTTGGAAGGTAGGATGGGGAATTGCTGTTTTCTATATGGTCGTCAGGAAAAGCCACTATGATTAAGGTAACATTTACTCAAACACCTGAAGGAAACAGAGAGAGCAAACTCTGCTTCTTATTGGATAGTTCCAGACAAAAACAGCATGTGCAAAGTCTCTGGGATAGGAGGGATACTGGAGGACCACAAAGGTGGCAATAGAGAGTTAATGAAAAGATATGAGATCAAAAAAGCACTGAGGCATTGGATGGGTGGAGTCAGACATAGATTTAAATTAAACAATATATTTTATTTGTAACTGAATTAAGATATATATTAACTTTTCAGAAATAC